TTTGAAATTTTCACGTCAGTTTTCCATACGAGATATTCTGCAAAGTTTCCAGTTTGATGCTTTTTGAAGGCGGAGATAAACCTGTTGATATCACAGTCTCCAGTAAGGTGCAGATTTTATCCAACTTTTCAACAGCATTCAATTTTCTTTTTAGTACTCCCTTTCTAACAGTACCCAATGTTTGCGGTTCCAAAGGATTAGTTTCCATACTCAAATACAATGCACCAGTAGAAGTTTTGCTATCATTTCGCCGAATCGGAACAAAACTACTCGATCCTCTTGCACTTTAATCATATTCCATTGAGCTATGGCGGTTACTTACTTTATCCACATCATTTTTAGAATTAACTTGAACCCAGCTCCCGCCAATTTTTACTGATGGTTGACAATTGTTTTTTGCTACCAGCAGTAAGTGGTCCTTTGAGTAGTTAACAACATCACGATCCCACTCAGCAAGCCGCTCCACTATGTACACACGCTTGGGTTTGTCATGCTTCATGAGTTCCTTCCTATTTCTCCAAACCAAGCCCTTTTGATGGTGATACAGGAATTTAATTATGATTGGTTTTACCTGATTTCTGCTAGGAAGGTAGTTGCAGGCCGCTAAATCTTCCTGGTTGATACTCACTCTCAGCACATTTCGTATAATACCCAAAATAGCAGCTAACGGTCTCCGTCGGTTTGTAATCCAAGAAAAATTAAAAATAACTTCGAGGAAAATCGCTTAAGTTTTAGTACCCTGTCTTTAATTAGGGAGTTTTCAGATAGCAAATGGTCATTTTCTGATTTTAAATAACTAATAGTATTATCCTGTTGTTCAATGCGATTGATAAGGGAAGTGAATAAATCTTTAATTTGATCAGGATTTCCGAAATTAATTTGAGACAACGATTTCGAAAGGTCTGAACTTGCCATGTTCTTTAAACGCAAAACAATTTGAGAAAACGAGACGCGAAAAGAGCGACTAATCTCTGAGAAACATTGACCGTCTGTAATATTTCTTTTAAATGTTCCTAAAAACTACAAGTACAATGGTACTTTTTAAAAAATTTTAAAAAAAACACAAGATTGGCCCTCTGGCTCACTTTTCTGATCTTTGCCCATGTGCCAGTAAAACTGACACGTGGGTATAAACGTTTTAAAAAAAACTTAGAAATTTGAAAAAATTTAACGGAAGCAGAACATAAACGAACTCAGAAGCTAAATAGAGCAACACTGAAGACGACTGAAACTAAAGGAAATACAGCAA